GTGACTTAAAACCAAAAACAAAAGAGACTGTAGGAATAACTAGACTTACCTACAGGACCGAACAAATGTCCAATAAGCCCATTAGGAAGAGCAACAGCCCGAAATTTAAGGGCATGTACCCTCTTGTGTCCGTTATAAACAGGCCGTTGGTGTTCCCCCGGCCTGCAAATTGGGTGGACAGTTCCATCCACAAACCCAAAACAGTTGTTAAGGGCAGCCCCCTTGTCAGACACAGCATCAGAGTATTGTTGGATAGCAAATGGATTCAAGATGGAATTATTCCAGGTTGTGATTCTGTGATGATGCAGATCGAAGATATAGTTGAGCACTATGTTTGATACCATACACAAAACAGGAACTGGTTTTGCAAATCTGCTGACCATGTCACTGTAACAACATGGATATACGAGGCGACGAAGAAGTATGCAAAGGCCCTCTATTCGGTCGCAAACACTGCCTTTTTGACACGTAAAGGTGGGCGGTAATTGAAGAACATCAGCGAGACGTTCGATATCTCCTCTTTCAAACCTAAACTCCGCTTTACATTCGGCTTCACTGATGTTTTTGTCAAAGTTAAATTCCTCATACTCGTAGTAAGGCAACTCTAAATTAACTCGTTGATTTGTCTCATAAAGAAACATAAACTCTTCATCCGTCAATAGCCCTTCCACGTAAGCACTAACAATCATTTCACAAGTCTTTCTTAAAGATGCCATGATGAACAAAACGTTGTCGTCCTCAGCTTGAAATCTGCTCCTTAATGTGAAAAGTTTCCCACCAAGGTAGACCCATCGACCCAGTCCCTCGCGCTCAATGTTAACGTCCTTGAGGTCAGCTGTCCAGGTATCTTAAACTCTCTTTTATATTTCAATAGACAGGGTCTTCATCTTGGGCTTTCTATTTTTCCACCAGCTTGACATCTGACACTGGTAAGGAGTGCAGTATGCTGTTGACGTATATGTTCATTTCTTCATCAGGAACAGTTCCCTTTTTGTCTGAGTTACTAGGTTGCATTCTGGATAAAGCGTCTGGAATGTACCGGTTTTTTTCCAGGCACATGGTTCACTCTTTCAAGTGGAAGCGCATAAGACGCCTTCTTAACTGCTGTATTTTAGGAGGGACTTCATCCAGCGTACATGTAGTGAGAAGGGCTACCAGAGGTTTGTGGTCTGTGTCAGTGATGATAGACTTTCCAACTAAGTAATCACTGTATTGCTCAAAGGCCCAGGTTAGTCCAAGAGCTTCTTTCTCCATTTGTGCATATCTGCGTTCTACTGGGGTGAGTGCACTTCATAGGAACACCATACATCTCCAGGTCTGGTCATCCTGCTTCTGTAACAGTACTCCTCCTAGTCCAAATAATGATACATCTGCTGAGATTTTGGTCTCTTTATTGGAATCATAGAGAGTGAACACTGGTGCTTTTGTCAGACTTGACTTGATTTGTTCAAATGCCTTTCATTGAGGTGGTTCCCAGACCCACTGGTGGTCCTCCTGCATGAGATCCCTTGCTCATGTGGTTAACAATGCCCAAGAATACATGGACATCGTGGACACTCTTGAGTGCTGTTAGGTCAGTCACTGCTGCCACTTTTTCAGGATCCACCTCAATGCCATGTGCACTGACAACATTTCCAAGGAACTTGAATCTTGTTGCTTTGAACACGCATTTCTTGATATTTAGTGTAACACCTCCTGTGGCGAGCTGCTCCAATACTTGCTCCAATCTTTTGTTGTGTAGCTCTCGAGTAGGAGCATGGACAGGCACATCATCAATGTTACATTCAGCTTCCTCGAGCCCCTCAAGGATCCTGCTCATACATTTCTGGAACTTTTCTGAACCTGAGCCTATGCCATAGGGTAGCACATTGGAGCAGAATTGACCCCAGGGTGTGATAAAAGTTGTGAAGTGTCTCAAACTTTCAGACAACCTGATCTGCCTGAAGCCAGAGTTCGCATCGAGCTCTTTGAAATGCCTTGCACCTGCGAGCTTAGAAATACTACCTTAAAGACTTCCAGATAAGCCGCACCTTTTTTCCAAAAATTTGCGATCAAAATCATAGTTGCAGCTTATCTGTGAGACCATTTGGGAAAGGTGCTGTGAATTTCTGTGAATGGACACTTTTATGGCATAATACTGGAATAAATGCTACATTACAACAACAAGAGAGTATTGGTCATTGCTTTTGCGAGTTTGGTGGCTCCTAAAAGAGCCGTTGGTGATGAGTATAAGCTTATTTCAAGCTTACATTTCTTGCCATTAAACCTTTGTTAACAGGTCTTTTAAACGGTTTATGGTCGCTTTTCTCGAACAGGAGAACCTTACACAGCATAGGATTTCCATTCCCCCACAAAGTTTTTTTACAGTGTCGACGACGGCCTGGTACTTCAAGGGTAATTGTAAGAGTATTTGCGCAGTAGATGGCCCACTGTTTGTTCACCGTTGAGCACTTTGATAGCAAATTTGTTGAACTGATTACCAAACTCTTTATGTGCAATGAGTTTTTTTTACCAACAGATGGCTCCCAAATATCTTTGTAGATATGATAGCCACGAACGGCAGAGACAAACTGAAACGTTTCCATCTTGTTTTGACCTGTTTTGCTTCTGAGTAAACAAACCCACATTTATCATTCTCACCCTAGTCTCAATGTGGCTAAAGATGAACCAATTGAAGCTAAGCGCATTCTGTTCTATGCAATGAAATGCCTTATTTGCATGTTTTCACATTGAGCATACTCATTGAGCTTTGTCAAGTCCACGCACACTCTCACTTTGACACTAGGCTTGGGGGTGACTACCATTGGGGCACTAATAGAACTAAAGTATAAAGGTAAAAATTATTTGAAAAAAAACTTAATTGATAAATAGATATTGGTGCAATATTATTGATATTATTTAATAAAGTGTTCTTTCGGTTTTTTTTTTTACCTTACTAGCAGAGCTAGAGCTAATTATGTCATTTGGCAAGTCATTCCAGATCTTTATATATTTATACCAAAAAGAGTTCTTGAGGATATTTGTTCGAGCATAAGGCGTCCAGATTTTGACATTGTTGGTAGATCTCGTCCGACTATTGGAGAAAGTTAAGTAATTACATAAGTCTACTCTTGAAAAACCATTAATGAATTTGAATAATTGCACTAAACTAAGAAATTCACGACAGGAGTTGAGTGTTGGCCCGCCAGGATACTCCAAACGTTCACTATAGTTGATAGAACTACCAAGGATCCACCTGGAAGCATTCCTTTGCACTCTTTCAAGCTTATCAGACAGACATTGTTGATGTGGATTCCACACAGGACAAGCATACTCAACAATTGGCCGAACCATAGACTTATATCCAATTGTTATTGCTTCAGAGCATTTTCCAAATGTGCGCTTTGGTAGGCCAAGTATTTTATTTGCTTTAGCAGCAACAGAGAGAACATGCGGCTTCCAAGATAAGTCAGATAATATAATGACTCCAAGATGTCTGTGTGTTTTAGCCTGTTCCAGTGGGATTGAATCGATGATGTACGAGCATGGTGTTACAGATTTAGAGCTTGTGATTCTCATACATTTGCACTTAGTTGCTTTAAGTTTCAAAAGCCACTTTTTACACCAGTCTACGATCTGAGACAAGCTTTCACACACAGGTTGATGAACAGATGATGGCTGATCTGAGTTAAACAATAGAGTATCATCGGCAAACATTTCACTTGAGCACGATAGGTTCTCAGATATATCATTGACATACAACAAGAACAACATTGGCCCAACAATACTTCCCTGAGGGACACCAGAGTAAACCATGGACCAGTCTGAGCTTTCACCTTCCAGAACAGCATGTTGGAAACGATCTTGCAGGAAATCACCCAGCCACTCGAGAATCTGACCATTGATACCATATCGGCCAAGCTTAGAGAAGAGATGTTTGTGTGGGACTGAGTCAAACGCTTTCTCAAAGTCCAGGAAGACAACATCTGATGTTTTGTTTTTATCTAAGGCTGATGCCCAGGAGTGACATACACAGGAAAAAATTCCAGAAAACCATCAATGGTAAAGAAAATGGTAATCTGTAAATTCCCACGAGGAATAACCATTAATGAAAAAGCTGGACATCTCCTATTAATGTTTTTATTAATAATTTACATTAATGTAAGAGGCACAAACCATTGATGGTTAGTGAATAATAACCAGAAATAGTTATTTTCATTTAAACATTAAGTGAAATGTCCATTAAACATTAGTGGCAATCAAGAAACATTAAGCTTCACTGTTTTTTTTTCTTTTGCTTTGGTCTAAATGTTAAGATCTTTTGTTGACAACTGTAGCTGGGTTCTAGAAATTTCTTTAAAAAATGTATGACCTTAAATGCCACACACACTATTTCTTAATAAAGAAACCACAACTTTTAGTTTGCAAGACATGTTTCGACATTCTTATGTCATCTTCAGTTGTAAATGCGATTTTAACGGTTGTACATTTGAATTTATATGAGATTACGTTACAAATTACGTCATATTGTTTACGTTACAATTTGAATATTAAATACGAAAAAACGTGACATAGCACGCGCCAGATGGGGAAAGAAGGAGAAAAGAAAAATAATGATCATAATAAGAAAAATTATTATGATGACAGAATCAAAAGGAAAGAGACAACTCTAGATGCTTCAATTGCTGATTAAGGATGGGTTTGTCCCACTTAATGTAATCTCATATAAATTCAAATGTACAACCGTTAAAATCGCATTTACAACTGAAGATGACATAAGAATGTCGAAACATGTCTTGCAAACTAAAAGTTGTGGTTTCTTTATTAAAATTATTGCCACTCTGCTGTCTTTACGTCCTTTTGGTAACACACACACTATATAGCTAGCAACTTGGAACTCACTAAAATTAACCAATAAAAGTTCCTTCTTGACAGTTCCACAAACTCAACTAAAAGTTGCCTTTTGAAAACTTTTAAATAAGCACTTAAGCTGGTTAGCTAAAATGGTTTAACTTTTTTAATGTCATCTCGTGAGACCTTCTTGGAGTGTCTATATGACACTTTGACAAATCCTTTCTTTTAAAAGTGCTTCAACAACCAACTTCACTAGACCTTTTCTCTCTTTCTTTTTGGATAGTGTGACTTTAAATCCAACAAACACACAAGCAACTTGGAACTCACTAAAATTTACCAATAAAAGTTCTTTTTTCTTCAGTTCCACAAACTCAACTAAAATTTGCCTTTTGAAAACTTTTTAAGAAGCACTAGCTGGTGAGCTAAAATGGTTTAATTTTTTTAATGTCATCTCGTGAGACCTTTTTGGAGTGTCCATTTAACACTTTGACAAATCCTTTCTCTACAAGTGCTTCAGCAACTATCTTCACTAGATCGTTCTTCTCTTTCTTTTTTGTTGTAATTTTAAGAGCTTTTGCTGAAGACTGCAGCTGGGTTCGTGAAATTTGAGATATTTGAATTGCATTAAAGGCCACGCACACAACCAACTTGGCAGTATCCTCATCAAGATCTACGAAAGATTACAAAAAAATAGAGCTTTCATTAAAAATAGAGTGGGATCCACCATTGACTGTTCACTACACCTAGTGTAAAATTACAACCTTCTGATACACCTTGGATGTGTACACTCCTCTGAAACAATTTCATTACATTTGGGGGGCAAATGTTTTTTTGGGGGCATGCAGATATATTTTACAGTGTAATGCATACCCTCGTTTTCATCGGATTCTTCTACACTTTCTGTGTCTCCAGAGTTATTTGTCTCTTCAGAGTCTCCAATCTCTTCATGATCAGCACTTGATCCACTAGCTGAACTTGAGCCACCAATATCATTATCAGTACTAGTGCTGTCAGAACTTGTTCCTTGATCCACTTTCCTTTTAAGAGTCCGTTTATCCGGCTGCAATGTCAAAAAAATCATGTAAATGGTTGTACAGAAACATGAGCTGTTTTTTTTTCATCATAATTTGTTAACTTATATGGGTTTAAGTTAGTAGCAATATGTTCATTTAGATGTTCTTTGTTGTAAAGCAAACAAAATCTTTTCCGTAGGTTCGAGCTCCTTCCAAATTAAGGTCTGCATGCATGAATAAGAAATAATTGGTCAATATATAAAAATTAATGTTATTGACATTAAGCTCACCTGAGAATAGTCATGTCCTTTCCTTTTATGTCTCCTTCTTTCATTAAGAACGTCTAAGATATGTTGTTTGATACCCTCTTTGCCAAAGTTTAAAGGTGGAAACGAGCAATCCTCCTTGAGGTCATTAACAAGATCATTCAACTCGTCAACAGCGATCTTGTTCTTCTTAAAATTCGGGATGTCATTCCCAGGCCATCTATTAATTGCCGCAGTTCTGATAGCTTTTCTCCTAATAAGGAAACGGATTTAAAAAAATTGTGGAAATTTATATCCAATATTTAAGACAACCATTCATACATAGATTTATTAAATTGTGACGGTTTGAAATACAAATACTTCCTCCTTGTTCGAGAAACTACTGCTACATTATGCATTTAAATTTGTTTTTAAACACTTCGAGCAAATGCAATCGGTTGAAAAATTTCTGTAATGAAGTTAGAAAATACAGTAAAAAAGGACACATTCCTGACAGTTACTTACTTGGTCTTGTAAATTCTTCGTGCAGTTTCACTTATTTGCAGCAGCTGCGCTTTGGAGGGCTTTTTGGGTTTGATTGTCGTCACTTCAAAACCAGTGGACCCGCTCTCGGCAGAACTATTGACCACGGAGCTTAATTTTAGCTGGTCGGCAACTGTAAGAAGGCCGCAGGCTTCGTACTGTTCTTGGGATGCACGTTTAGAGAGAAGGACCAAGGTTTTTCCATCAACCTTTTGGGCTGTTTGCATAAAATCAAAACGAGCAGTAAGAAAAATTGTTTAAGCTTAAATTGTATGAACACATCTGAAAAGTTATGTACCCTACACAATGTATTCGATGCAACAAGCTGCACAATTACGTGATGTCCACTTCATAACTCTGGGAAACCTTACCAATTCATAAAGAACATCTCCATTTTCAACAAGAATTCTGCATATGATATATTATTTCCTGCTTTTCGAACATATTTGAAAATTGGAAAAGTGTCATAATCGATGGAAAATTATTGGGGAAGTTCATTGGGGACATTTTTAACGTACAATTATTTCGCGCCAAAACCAAACTAGTATCAACCTGTATCAACGCAATGCAAAATCAGTTCCCGAAATGACAAATTCTGTGTTCACTGTGAGAAATTGTTAAAAATCCTTCCAGCTTTATCACGGTAAGTTAAAATAGTATAACAGACAATAAATAAAGTGAATTTAGGCCATTTCAATTCACTGTAAAATACATGTGTAAGATTCAGTGACGAAATCTACAAATCGATTCTGACACTTGTTGAACGTACCTTCGAACTTTTCCGCTACTTCAGTATTGAAGTGCTTTTCTATTAAAATGAACACTTCACGAACATCCATTTCTTCCACTGGTTTTTCGGCGTTCATTATGTCACGATTTATTCGTAGAACTAAAGACCTAATAGCTTCCCAATTTGTATAACAGCCCTTGACATCAATCGACAGAAAGACAGAAGTAGTCTTCGCAGCGCGCCCTGCTAAACAATGTACAGCGGGGAGTTACGCGGGGGGGATTGACATACTGCGACATGATTGGCTGGACGTGGATATGCAGGGATGTGATTGGTGCAAGAAATCGTTGCGCGGGAAATTTGGCGCTTTGTGATTTTCGCTCGATTTTTTCGCACTCAAAATCATGGAAGCTGATAGTAATAAAAGACGACGAATTGATGATGAGGCTGTTGCTTGGACGAGAGATGATATCGTCTGCTGCAACTGTTCAGAGCTAAAATCCAGACATGTACATTGTCCTTGTTCCAAGTGTAATGGTGCTGCAGTTGCACGTTCAGTAGAGCATTCTCACAGGCAGCAACAACAACAAGAAATAGCTGATATTGTGGTGGACAGGTGAGAACAAGCTAATTACTGTAAATATTATTTGATTTGACGTTAAGCCATAATATATTGTGCTTTATGAAATAAAGTGTTCGTTCTCTTGCACCTATGTAACAATTATTTAGACTTTCAAATTCAGCTGTCAGATTAAATATTGTAATCAGCAACACTAGAAACACACCTTGCTAGATGAATTACAATATGAAGAAGTTTGCTTCAGCCCATGAACTCTAGATATATTTTTATTTTCAAACAGAGTGGAAGATCCTGGTGACACTAATAATGACTCTGGCATTGATGAGTGTATCTTACCACCGTCCGGTGATGATAACCTCACTCATGATCACTGTAGTGTTCTTTCTGAGAACCAAACTAGTGCACAAAATTTATGTAGCAGGCCATGCTCACCTGACTCAATGGCGTCAGACACTACTGATAACAACGAAATTGATCATGATGATATTGAAATTACAATTGCTATACTAAAGTCTTTGAATTTAGTGGATCAAATGAGTGGATCTATCTCAGATTTTGAAGACATTCTCCAATTTTCTAAGGAGTTGTTTTGTCGAAATGACAGAAAATTAGAGGAAAGATGGCCAAGAAATTGGCAAGAGACTCAATCAGTTCTCAAAATTTGTGGATACAAAGCCCCAAGAGAACTTTATGTTTGCCTGGATGAGAGCCACTATGCACAGTGGGATGTCATGGAAAAGGCAAACGAAACGTGCAGACATTGTGGTAAGGCAGGAAAAATTAAATATTATTACCTGGGTATCTCTGACAAAGTTGAACTGTGGTGTGCTAACCGTGATATGTGTAAGAAAATGATGGCCCACTGGAGAGAGAAAGATCACTTGATTGAAGGCGAAGGTGCAAACTTTACACTAAAAGAGATATGGGATGGTGAAAGATTTAATGAACTCAGTTGGTTCTGGAAACCAGATTCTGAATGGATGCTTCCTGTGAAATGTAAATTCTGTACCAACATAATTAGTGTCGATGAAATGAAGGAGTGTCCCCAAGAAGATGGAAGGTATGAAATCACATGTCCTGAATGTGGAACAAGGTGGGAGCAAACACCATCCTATGCCACAGGTGACCCCCGCAACATTGCTCTTATTGGGCACTGGGACGGATGGCAACCTTTCGGATACCCTGGAGCACATAGTTGTGGTAATTATAATTTCTATTTAACAATTTTTATGTTCTTCCTTTAGCGTTTTCCGGGGGGGGGGGGTACTCCTGAAAATTTTGGATAGGGGTGTACATGTGCTGCGAAAGTTCTTGAACCCGGCCTAACCCTATACCCTTTTACCACCGGCCAATACTTATAAAGAGTTGTTCCTATCAATTTCTGTCACATCTACAATTTATAAAACTTCTTGGTAAATGTGGCTACATCTTTGGGATACAAAATTAATTGATCCATTCATTTATACCTTTTAGTTAGAGCCCGCTTGATTGATTCTAAAATATCACTTTAACAGACATGAGTATTGAATGTTTCAATATGGTATTTGCAGGTGCAATAGAAGTGACCATTGCAAACATGGCTAAAGCTGAGCGATGCAGTACTGATCAGATATATGTAGTAGGTTTTGTACCTTCTTACCAGCTACCCAAAAGTCGGCCTTGCTCACTGGATCCCTTCTTGCATCCTCTCATCAGTGACATCGAAGACATCATTATCGATGGTATGAATGCAAGTTGCAATATACCGTCTGATAAGCCATTGATGGCACACCCAGTTTCTATTATAACATTTATCTACCAGTATTCAGTACAGGTAGTCATTTATCATAATTATACATTTATTTAATATACATGCACATGTACTGGAAACCATGCAGACCACTTCTATTCTAAACTTAATAATTTGTTTTAGTTTAAAAAAAACTAGAAAAAAATAGTCAAGACCAAATTTCATTTGAATAATTTAATTAATTAACCAAAACTTGCATGCGTGTGCAATAGCAACTTCTTTAAACATGCATTTTTTTTTCAGGTCTTGAAGTTGACTATGTTGAGTCATTTCCTGGTCTTCCGGCAGGAAGGATCATCTTGCGCATCTTGATTCTGCTATGGACAGGTGACTATCCTGCACAACACGAAGTAGGGAAGTTCATCAAACATGGTATATTACCATGCCGTAGAGACAAACTACAAGGTAAATTAGACACAATTTATTCATGTATGATTTACAGTGTAGCACTCTACTGAAATTATTTTAACATTAATCTGAATTAGTCTTTTCAGTAGTAATAATTAATGTAAAAGTAATGATATTGTTTAATTTTTGGCAAAAATTCTGATAGGTTAATAAAATATCGTGTTTTTTTTATGTACACTTGTGTTTATTGTATTTTTGTAAAATAATGTTTCTAGAAAATGCTGTGCATATAATTGCATATTGCAAAATAATTAAATACCAGCTGGTGAGTAAGAATGAATTCAAAGCAAAATGGTTTATCATATTTCTGAAGAAAAGATTGGTAATATGCTGTCATTTCTTTATTCACATTGGTTTTTGGTCAGTTTCTTGTCTGAAATAAAAGTCCATTTTATTCAATAGGTACTATCAATCCAGAGGGTGGAAGCACATACTATTATGTTAATAATCGGTACCACGCCAGATTTGCATGGGAGGAACGAAAGCTGGAAGAAGACTTTAAAACGATGAAAGATATAAATGAGGAAGACCGCAAAACTGTTCGGGCAGAAAAAAGCAGGAACAGTGGTTATACTGGATTAAGCGTCCTTTATCGACTGCACAAACTTTATGGATTTGACATTTTCAAGCATCTTGTGTATGACACTATGCATAACCTCCCTTCAAATGTCATAGCAGCACAACTCAAAAGCTTCATCACTCTTGAGAAGATTGACAGTAAATTAGTTGACCAACATCTACGCTTCTTTCCTTGGACTGCAGGTCTGTAATAAACAAGAATTTATTCTTTTGTCATTAACATCTTAAGTTATTAATTTGGTTTCAAGGCAATTTTATACATTATAAAAAAATTTAATTCATGGTGACTTCAAACCCATTATTATGAAAGCTGTTAACAAGAAGGTTTCTTTGTTTTTGTTTTTACTTTTGTTTTTTGTTTTTTTTGGAATGGGGGGGGGGGGGTAAAAAGAACAAAATTTACATATGTAAGTTTTTTTTAGTATTGTGGAAGTAGTCTTGCACAATGATATACTTACATTGAATGTTTTTAGGGGAGGGTGGCACAAGAAGGAACTTTGGTCTTCGTGAATAACAAAGCACTCTATTACTCCTCTAAGAAAGTCAAAGGCCAGAATGACCCAACATATTAAATTTCTCATTGCATGTTGACTGGCCTCTTGAGGAGTGCAAATCATTATGAGTACTGAAGGGAATGATAAAGGTGAGGTTTGCACATGAGCCAAGTGCCCCATTGGGGCAGGGGCTATGCCTAGTTCAATTCATACTTTTATGATCCTTTGGCTCGGACACCCATTTAAATCTGCCCCCTCTGGCCTAGTGGTGTGTGTTTTCTTATTGTCAAGTGCAGTTACTAACCATAAGGCCTTTTGTCTTCCACTTTGGGTAGGCCTTGAAATTGAACTGCTTTCTTCCTTGCAAGTTACTAATAGTATAAGTGAAAGTCAAGTGCCTTACTGTAGAAGCTTTCCATATTTACTGACCCCTACTACTGTGCTTAGTACCCTATCCTCTCTGATTCTCATAGGGGTAAAACACCTGTCTGGACTGCAGGCTTGACAGATCACCCCCTTCCCCTACTGGGGCCTCCTCCACCTCTTTATATGCCACTCCCGCCTTTTTGTTCCAGCACTCGGTGGTGCTTAACAGGTCTTCTCAAGGAATGGATTAATTACAAACACTTACATAACTCGAATCTTCAAGTGTCTTGTTAACTGACTTCACGCCAAGTAGCCCAGAGAAATATTGAGCATCATGTCAAAAGTTCAATTTACAATTCTACAATTTTCTGAATTAAATTAATTACCCTATGTTCCAAGAGGTCTCGCTGCACGGTGGGATTAGGTTTTTTAAGCTTTCTTATGGATGCCCAATCTTTTTCCTTTTTGGGAAACTCATCTCCACAAGTTCTACATTTCCTTAAAGCTATGGGAGCTTGTTCACCACAGGCCCGACAGGTCTGTAAAGATATGGACACATATTAGTGACATAGTATAAATAATCCATGTAAAATAAAAAAAATAATAATAATGAATAAATAATCCATGTTTAGTAATCCACAACCTGCAGGGTAAAATTCTAACTACCTGAAGTTAACACTGTTATAAAAGTGTTATCAGACTGTTAGTTTTAAAAAAATAAAATTTATGTAATATGTCAGTGTCAAATTTAACAAACAATTTATGTATGCTATATCAATTTTTACTATAGATGATATACACTGTATTAATGATTGTTGCAGGGAATGTTTAGGGAAATGGCAAGTTGCTCTATGGGAGGCGCGGTGGCCTAATGGTTAGTGCGCTGGACTCCGGATCAAGCTATCCAGGTTAAAGCCTCG